CTCTTCTGAAAAGCTGAAGAAGATGGGATGCTTCCTAACTATTTTAAAAGGCCAACACTGCCCTGATACCAAAACAAGACAAGGACAACACAAAAAAGGAAAATTACCGGCCAGTATCACTGATGAACATAGATGCAAAATTCTAAACAAAATATTAGTAAATCAAATAAAATACATAAGAAGGATCATACACCACAATCAAGTGGGATTTATTCCAGGGATGAAGGGATGGTTCAACATTTGCAAAACAATCAATGTGATACACCACATTAACAAAATAAAGAATAAAAATCACAAGGTCATCCAAATAGATGCAGAGAAGGCCTCTGACAAGATCCAACGTACATTTATGATAAAAACTCTCAATAAAATGGGTATAGAAGGTGTAGGGGAGGAAGACATTTCCTCTACCCTCTCTAGGTCCTTCTGGTCAGACGAAAAATTAAATTCACATGAGACAGAATAACAGGAGAAAATTAAACAAAGTTTTATAACATGTAAACATGGGACAGACACAGAAAAACTGAGTAACTCACCAAAATGGCAGAAGCTCTCACCTTAAATACCATCCTTAGCTAAAGACAAAGGAGGATGTTGGGGGTCAGGGGAGTCAGTTATGGGAAATTACCAGCAAAGTACAGTAAACAAGAGAAAGGTTATTATGCAGATTTAAGTCCTTGCCTTCTGCATTGATAAGAGTTTCTAGAGACAAGGTCATATCCCCCTTCTTCCTGGTACAGAGAGGGAGACACCTTTGCAGATGAAGATTTCCTTTACAAATGTAAATGTCTCTTAACAAAGGGTAACTTCTACTTCTCAGAGTTTCTCTCATGTCTGCTGTTTTTCAAAAGTAACCAGCACAAAATAATCCTCATGCGAAAGAGAGGAATCTTGGGGTGGCTAATTCCAGTCCCCAACAAAGGAAAGTACCTCAACAAAATATAGGTCATATATGACAAACCCACAGCCAACATCATATTCAATGGTGAAAAACTGAAAGCTATTACTCTGAGAACAGGAACAAGACAAGGACACCCACTCTTGGCACTCTCATTCAACACAGTACTGGAAGTTTTAGCCAGAGCAATTAGGCAAGAAAAAGAAATAAAAGGAATCCAAATTAGAAAGGAAGAAGTAAAACTGTCACTATTTGCAGATGACATGATTCTATATTTAGAAAACCCTAAAGAATCCACCAAAAGACTATTACAAATAAGTAATGAATATAGTAAAGTTGCAGGGTACAACATTAACATACAAAAATCAGTTGTAATTTATACACTAATAATGAAATAGCAGAAAGAGAGATCAAGAATACAATCCCATTTACAATCACAAGAAAAAGAATATCTAGAAATAAATTTAACCAAGGAGGTGAAAGCCCTGTACATTGAAAACTATAAGACACTGTTGAAAGAAATTGAAAAAGACATAAAGAAGCAGAAAGATATTCCGTGCTCATGGATTGGAAGAATTAACTTAGTTAAAATGTCCATATTACCTAAAGCAACCTACAGATTCAATACAATCCCAAGCAGAAACCCAATGAGATTCTTCCCAGAAATAGAACAAAGAATCCTAAAATTTATATGGAACAAAAAAACCCCAAATAGCCAACGCAATCCTGAGAAAAAAGAACAAAGCTTGAGGTATCATATTCCCAGATTTCAAAATATACTACAAAGCTATGGTACTCAAAATAGCATGGTACTGGCACAAAAACAGATACACAGGTCAAGGGAACAGAATTGAGATCCCAGACACAAACCCTCATATCCATGGACAGCTAATCTTGGACAAAGGAGCCAAAAACATACAATGGAGAAAGGGAAGTCTCTTCAATAAATGGTGTTGGGAAAACTGGACAGCCACATGCAAAAGAACGAAAGTAGAGCATTATCTTGCACCATACACAAAAATTAACTCAAAATAGACTAAAGACTTGAATGTAAGACCCAAAACAATAAAACTCCTAGAAGAAAACATAGGCAGTATGCTCTTTGACATCAGTCTTAGCAGTATCTTTTTGAATACCATGTTTTACCAGGCAAAGGAAACAAAAGAAAAAAAATAAACAAATGAGACCACATCAGGCTAAAAAGCTTCTGAACGGCAAAGGAAACCATCAACAAAATGAAAAGACAACCCAGAAACTGGTAGAAAATATTTGCAAATCTGTCGAATAAGGGATTTATTTCCAAAATGTATAAAGAACTCAAACAACTCAACAACAAAAAACAACTCAATCAAAAAATGGGCAGAGGATATGCACAGACATTTTTCCACAGAAGATATACAGGTGGCCAACAGGCACACGAAAAGATGTTCAACATCACTAATTATTCAAAAACTGCAAATCAAAACCACAATGAGATATGACCTCACATCCAACAGAATGGCTTTAATTAACAAGACAAGAAATAACAAGTGTTGGAGAGAATGTGGAGAAAAGGGAACTCTCATCCAGTGCTGGTGGGAACATAAACTGGCGCAGCCACTATGGAAAAGAGTAAGGAGATTTCTCAAAAAATTGAAAATAGAAATACCATTCTATGATCCAGCTATTCCACTACTGGGTATTTATCCAAAGAACATGAAATCAACAATACAAAGAGATTTATGCATCCCCATATTCATCACAGCATTATTCACAATAGCCAAGACTTGGAAGCAACCAACGTGCCCATCAACTAATGAATAAAGAAGATGTGGTACATATATATATATATTTACAGTGGAATAGTCCTTGGCGATAAAACAAGATAAAATCATGCTGTAGGGGAGGAAGACAAATCCTATACCCCCTGGGTCATGCTGGCTAGGCTCCGAATTGAATTGACATGAGACAGAACAACAGGAGAAAATCAAACAAAGCTTTATAACATGTATGCGTGGGAGACACTCAGGAAAGCTGAACAACTCGCCAAAATGGCCAAGCTGCCAGCTTAAACACCATCTTCAGCTAAAAATAAAGGAGGATGTTGGGGGTAGTGGTTTGGGACTTCAAAGGGGAGGAAGGCAATTCACATGGAAATGGAAAAGCAAATGTTTGGTAAACAAAACTTTGATAAGAGCCGGCTTAGAAGGGATCCTCCCAGTCTACCAGATACCCAGAGTTACCTATGGTGATGGCCTGTCCTGCAGACAGGCCTTTTATCTTAAATTCTTTTAGGCAGTTAGGGGGAAGGCCAAAGTTTCCTTCAGTCTTTTGTTCTATAAAGGCAAAGAGACACATTTTGAGGTGGCCCATTTTGATCCCCCACGATGCCATTTCTGACAACACAGATGGATCCCAAGGGTATTATACCAAGCGAAATAAGTCAGACAGAGAAAGACAATACCATATGATTTCACTGATAAGTGAATATAAACAAACAAACACATAGATAAGGAGAACAGATTGGTGGCTACCAGAGGGAAGAGTGAAAGGGGTAAAGGGGCACATATGTTGGTGATAGATAAAAATTAGACTGTTGGTGTTGAACATGATGCAGTCTATACAGAAGCTGACATAATAACGTACACCTGAAATTTACACAGTTATAAGTCAATATGACCTCAATAATACATGCATCACAAAATATGCAGAAAAAGAATTTAGATAAAATTCAACACTCATTCGCGATTTGTAGCAAACCAAGAATAGTACGGAAATACCCTAATCTGAGAAAGGATCTCTACCAAAAGACTTCAATAAATATCATTCTTAATGGTGATACGTTAGGAGTATTCTCTCTAAAACTAAGAATCACATCACAGGTGCCGGCCCAGTGGCGGAGTGGTTAAGTTAACCATGCACTGTGCTTCGCCGCCCAGGGTTTCGCTGGTTCGGATCCTGGGCGCAGCAGACAGGCACCACTCATCAGGCCATGGTGAGGCGGCGTCCCACATGGCACAACTAGAAGGACCCACAACTAGAATGTACAACTATGTACTGGGGGGCTTTGGGGAGAAAAAAAATCATAGTTTCTAGTCAACATGTCGTTGGAGAACTAGTCAGCACAATGTCTTATGTGTTTTGTTTTTCTTAGAAACCCAAACGATCCTACAGATAAATTTTTAGAATAAGAGAGTTGAGCAAGTTGGGAGAATATATTAACAAAAACATTTCTTCATGACAGGAATAAACAGTTTAAAAACTTTGCTTTAAAACATCACTTTCAATAACAGCAAAAATATAGGGTATTGAGGGAAGGCGCTTGACAAAAGAGGGAGAGATCTTCATAGAGAAATTTATACAAACGGCACTGACAAAGATTTAAATAAGTGGAGACGTTGGCACGTTCACTGACAGGAAGAGGCCAGATCGCAGATATCAGATCACTGTAAATGTATCTACATATTTAATGTCAGTGTCAAATCAAATATTGAGAGGGTTTTAGGGGCGAGGATGTGCTGCTTCTAGAATTTTCACGAAAGAGCTAAGGGGTTTTCCATGGAGCAGACAAGCCAGCCCCACTGGCTCTCTGAATTTCTGGACACAGAACCTGCGGGCAGAGGACAACGGTTCTTGTTTTGTGTCCCTAATTTGGGGGGTTCGTTTCACAGCAGAGGAGAACGGAAATGTCCCTCATTCACAAAGGACTCGGGCACCCTCGCACGACCTCCTTCCCCTTCTAGATCCTTCCACCCCTTGAGTGACTGCAGTATGCACAGGAATGAACTTCCCACACACAAGACTGCCCGCTCCCTGATCTCCTCTCCCACGGTGCTGGCCTCAGCTCAGCCCTCAGCGCCCCCCGTCAGTTTACAGAAAGGCGGGGTTTCTGGGGGACACCAACGGCCACCTGTGAGGGTTTCGGATAAGGGACCAACGGAGGCCCGTCTACCCCGCCAGAGATCCCATGACCGCCGCCTGGGGTTGTCAACAGGCAGCACTCTGAGCAGAGCTGCAGGTCACAAAGTCACCATGCCAACCTTGCTGTCCATCACGACGACCAGACACTCCGCCTCCGCGGATGTCGTGGGGCCTCGGCCCAGACCCGCTTAGCCTCCTCCGCGCGCAGGCGGGACCAGGTGGAGGCCGCGCACGCGTCTTGGGGACAGGGCGGAGGGGTTGAGCCCTGAGCACAGGTGGAGGCAGTGGGCGCAGAGGCCTGAGGTGGTCTGGAGTGGCCCTGAGGTGGCCAGGAGTGGCCGGGGTCCGTGTGGCGCAGGGGCAGCCAAAGCCATGGGGGCCAGCGGCCCTGGGGTGCTGGGCCCCGCGCTCTTCCTGCTGCTGCTGCCGCCGCTGAGCGCAAACAGCTTCCTACTCAGCCTCCAACGCTCGCGAGACTGGCGCGGCCTCGGGCTGCCCTGGGGAAGCCCCCGGCGCCCGCGCCGCCTGGGCCCGGACCAGGAGAGGTTCCACCACATCCGGGGCCCGACCCCCTTGCCCCAGGAGCGACGGGCTGGAGAAAAGCCGAAATCCTGCCAGAGCACGGTTGACCTCTACTTCATCTTGGACATGTGAGCGGCCCCCCGCCCTCGCCAGCGCCGAGGGGCAGTGCTGTCCCTGGGGTCAGTGGGGCAGGACGCGGCCAAAGGGATGCCAGCTGTGGTGAGGGGAGAGGCAGGATGGTCAGGATGGGACCCAACGAGCAGAGCCCTGTGGCCTCCTTGTCCTGAGGCAGAGGAATGACCCAGGCGTTTGTCCCCGGGGCTGTGTCATTTGGGAAGGAAGAGCGGCCAGCCGAGGGTTTCTGGATGGCTCCCTGGCCCTCCATCCCCAGGCCTGAATCTGGGAGCGCCTGCCCTTAACAGCCGAGGGGCCATGGCGTGGAGCCGCCTTCTCAGCACGGGTCCCGGCTCCCGAGGGCCGCGGTTGGGTTTGGGTTTGCTTGGTTTGTCTGGTGTTTCCCCCAGATGACGTGTGTTTTCCTGCCCAGAGAGACCCCCGTGTGGTGTGTTGGGCATCGTCACAGCGTCGCTGCTCAGAGGGTCCTTGGCTTTTTGATTCCCTTGTTATTTCCTACGTGTGTATTCTATTATAGATATTTTCTTTATGGTTACGTGGGCATTAATAAGTTAACGTTCTCATTTTGTTCGTATGTCATTTTCCTGATTTCCTTTATTTCTTTCTTTTAAAAAAATTTTTTTTATTGAAATGTATTTGACATACAACATTGTGTAAAATTAAGGTGTGCGACATCTTGGTTTGTACAACATACATTTATATGTTGTAATATGATTGCTTTTGTGCTGATAGGTAGCACCTCTATGATGTTATATACTTATCATTTCTTTTTTGTGGCAAATTTGTGTATCAGAGTTGATGATTATAATACAATGTTGTTGTCCGTATTCACTAAACTCTGCATTAGATCTCCAGGATTTATTTGTCTACTAGTAGCAAGTTTGTACCCTTAAACAACATTTCTCTTATTCTCCCATCCACTAGACCCTGGTAACCACCATTTTACTCTGTGTTTTTACGAGCTTGGCTTTTGTAGATTTTACACATAAGTGATATCATACAGTATTCGTCTTTCTTTTTTCTGGCTTATTAAAATGTCCTTAAGGTCCATCAGTGTTGTTGCAAGTGGCAGGATGGCCTTCTTTCTCATGGCTCAGTTATATTCCATTATGTATAGATGGATAGATAGATAGATAGATAGATTATATTCCATTATGTATAGATAGATAGATAGCAAGTGGCAGGATGGCCTTCTTTCTCATGGCTCAGTTATATTCCATTATGTATAGATAGATAGATAGATAGATTATATTCCATTATGTATAGATAGATAGATAGATAGACAGACAGATAGATATACCACATCTTTTTTATGCATTCATCCTTTGACGGACCCTGACGTTGTTTCCATATCTTGGCTATTGTCAATAATCCTGCAATAAACATAGGAGTGCATATGTGTCTTCCATATCCTGTTTTCATTTCCTTTAGGTATACTCCCAGAAGTGGGATTACTGGATTATATGTTCTATTTTTAATTTTCTCAGGAACTTCCATATTGTTTCCCATAGTGGCTAAATCAATTTACTTTCCCACCTTTCCCACAACAGTGTACAGAGGTTCCCTTTTCTCCACATCCTTGCCAACATTTGTTATCTCTTGTCTTCTTGATGCTAGCCATTCTAACAGGTGTGAGGTGATGTCTCATTGTGGTTTTGATTTGCGTTTCCCTGATGATTAATGATGTTGAGCATCTTTTTATGTATCTGTTGGCCGTTTGGATGTCTTCTTTGAAAAAATGTCTGTTTAGTTTCTCTGCCCATTTTTTAATTGGATCATTTGTTTTTTGATATTGAATTGTATGTATCCTTTACATATTTTGGATATTAACCCCTCGCCTGATATATGGTTTACAATATTTTCTCCCATTCTGTAGGTCGCCTTTTCATTTTGTTGATTGTTGCTTTTGCTGTGCAGAAGCTTTTAAGTTTGATGTAGTCCCACTTATTGATTTTTGCCTTTGTGGTTTGTGCTTTTGGTGTCATATCCAAAACATCATTGACAAGACCAACTTTAAGGTGCTTTCTCCCTACATTTTCTTCTAGGAGTTTTATGATATCAGGTCTTAAGTTTAAGTCTTTGATCCATTTGAAATTAATTTTTGTGAGTGGTGTAAGATAGAGGTCCATTTTCATTTTTCTCCATGTATTTATCCAATTTTTCCAACATCATTTGTTGAAGAGACTATCCTTTCCACGTTGGGTGTTCTTGGCTCCCTTGTCGAATATTAGTTGGCCGTATATGTGGGAGTTTACTTCTGGGCTCTCTGTTCTGTTCCATTGGTCTATGTGTCAGCTTTTATGCCAGTATCATACTGTTTTAATTACTATAGCTTTGTAGTATAGTTTGAAGTCAGGAAGCATGATGCTTCCGGTTTTGTTCTTCTGTCTCAGGATTTCTTTGGTTATTTGAAATCTTTTGTGATTAGGTTTATTTTTTCTTTTTCTCTAAATGCCATTGGAATTTTGATAGGAATTGCATTGAATCTGTAGATGGCTTTGAGTAATATGGATATTTTAACAATATTAACTCTCCCAGTCTATGAACATGGGATGTCTTTTCATTCGTTTGTGTCTTGTAGTTTTTGTTGCACAGATGTTTCACTTCCTTGGTTAAATTTATTCCTAGGTGTTTTACCGTTTTTGATACATTTGAAATGGGATAGTTTTCTTTATTTCTCTTTTAGATGTTTCATTATTAGTGTACAAAAATGCAACTGATTTCTGTGTGTTGATTTTATATTCTGAAACTTTACTGAATTTGTTGATTAGTTCCAAAGGTTTTTGGTTGAGTCTGGGATTTTCTGTGTGCAAAATCATGTCATCTGCAAATAACGACAATTTTACTTCTTCCTTTCTGCTTTGGATGCCTTTTATTTCTTTGTCTTACCTAATTGCTCTAGCTAGGACCTCCAGTACTATGTTCAATAAGAGTGGTAGGAGTGGATATCCTTGTCTTGTACCTCATCTTAGGGGAAAGCTTTCAGTTTTTCACTGTTGAGTATAATATTAACTGTGGGTTTATCATATATGGCCTTAATTATGTTGAGCTATGTTTCTTCTGTACCCAGTCTGTTTGGGGTTTTTATCATAAAAGTCACATTTTGCCATATGCTTTTTCTGCATCTACTGGGTTAATCACGTGATTTTTATCTTTAATTCTGTTAATGTAGTGTATCCCATTTATTCATCGGCATATATTGAACCATCCTCACATCCCAGGGATAAATCTCACTTGGTCATGGTGTATAATTCTTTTATGTTCTTAAATTCAGTTTGCTAATATTTTGTTGAGAATTTTTGTATCTATATAAGACACTGGGCTGTAGCTTTCTTTTCTTGTAGTGTCGTTATCTGGTTTTGGTATCAGGGTAATGCTGGCATCCTGGAATGAGTTTCCAAGTGTTCCCTCTTCTTCAGTTTTTTGGAGGAGTTTAACAAGGATTGACATTAATTCTTCTTTAAATATTTGGTGAATTTGTCAATGAAGCTGTATGGTCCTGGGGTATTCTGCATTGGGAGGTTTTTGGTTAGTGATTCAATCTCTTTACTCATTATTGGTTTGTTCAGATTTTCTATGGTTGTAGTTGTTGATTACTTCTAAAAGTTTTCCAGTGGATTCTTTGGGGTTTTCTATATATAAGATCATGTCGTCTGCAAACAGCGAGAGTTTCACTTCTTCCCTCCCTATTTGGATTCCTTTTATTCCTTTTTCTTGCCTAATTGCTCTAGCCAAAACTTCCAGCACTATGTTAAATAAGAGTGATGATAGAGGGCATCCTTGTCTCGTTCCTGTTTTCAGGGGGATGGTGCTCAGTTTTTGCCCATTGAGTATGATGTTGGCTGTGGGTTTGTCATATATGGCCTTTATTATGTTGAGGAAGTTCCCTTTTATCCCCATTTTGTTCAGAGTTTTTATCATAAATGGCTGTTGAATCTTGTCAAATGCTTTCTCTGCCTCTATCGAGATGATCATGTGGTTTTTATTCCTCAGTTTGTTGATGTGGTGTATCATGTTGATTGATTTGCAGATGTTGAACCGTTCCTGTGTCCCTGGTATGAATCCCACTTGATCATGATGTATGATCCTTTTGATGAATTGCTGAATTCAAGTTGCCAAGATTTTGTTGAGAATTTTTGCGTCTATGTTCATCATAGTTCTTTTTCGTGGCCTGTAGTTCTTTTTTGTGGTGTCCTTGTCAGGTTTTGGTATCAGCATGATGTTGGCCTCGTAGAATGTGTTAGGAAGTATTCCATCCTCCCTAACTTTTTTAGAATAGCTTGAAAAGGATAGATATTAAATCCTCTCTGAAAGTTCGGTAGAATTCCCCAGGAAAGCCATCTGGTCCTGGGGTTTTATTCTTTGGGATGCTTTTGATTGCTGTTTCAATCTCTTTCCTTGTGATTGGTCTGTTCAAATTGTCTGCATCTTCTTGACTAAGCTTTGGGAGATTGTAGGAGTCCAAGAATTTATCCAGTTCCTCTAGGTTATCCATTATGTTGGCATATAGTTTTTTGTAGTATTCTCTTATAATCCGTTGTATTTCTGCAGAGTCTGTTGTTATTTCTCCTCTTTCATTTCTGATTTTGTTTATTTGAGCTTTCTCTCTTTTTCTCTTTGTAAGTCTGGCTAAGGGTTTGTCAATTTTATTCATCTTCTCAAAGAACCAGCTCTTTGTTAAATTGATCCTTTCTACTGCCTTTTTAGTTTCAATGGCATTTATTTCTGCTCTGATTTTTATTATTTCTCTCCTTCTGCTGACTTTGGGCTTTGTTTGTTCTTCTTTCTCTAATTCAGTTAGGTGTAGTTTAAGATTGCTTAATTGGGATTTTTCTTGTTTGTTAAGATGTGCCTGTATTGCAATGAATTTTCCTCTTAATACAGCTTTTGCTGTATCCCATTTGAGTTGGTATGGCATGTTATCATTTTCATTTGTCTCCAGGTATTTTTTTATTTCTTCTTTAATTTCTTCACTGACCCATTGCTTGTTCAA